AAAGGAATCTTCTATATAATTTGGTTGTATATGAAAATCAAATACTTGACATTTCACGTGTCCTCTACAGTCCAACGTTAACAATAAAGGAATCTTCTATATAATTTGGTTGTATATGAAAATCAAATACTTGACATTTCACGTGTCCTCTACAGTCCATCGTTAACAATAAAGGAATCTTCTATATAATTTGGTTGTATATGAAAATCAAATACTTGACATTTCACGTGTCCTCTACAGTCCAACGTTAACAATAAAGGAATCTTCTATATAATTTGGTTGTATATGAAAATCAAATACTTGACATTTCAGTCTGGTTGCTCAAGGTTTACTAGGGTACCACTAGTCCACGGACCAGTGCTGATCGGTCACAACCACCTTGCCAGTCCGTAGGATTTCACAAAAACTGACAGAATATTCATACGTAAATTATAATAATGGGTTATTGATGTACTTTCGTTTTAGTGGTCCACAGTAGGTTAGGGAGGCAGTGATATAAAAACAACAAGGTTAAGAACTGTATTAAAAATCTAATTGTTCACTACTGTAGGGTGTTTAGAGAACATCTTTATGTGATTGGAATGTATTTGGTAACAATTTCTAGATTAACTACCTAACAAAAATACTGTTGAAGGCCGGTGAAAACTCCTCTAGACCTGACCTTTCGCTTGCTCCCTGGGATAAACCATTGCCTCCTGCTTCATTACATAGGTTTCTCCGTGCAGACTTGGATATCCCTGGTGTTGTTATTAGCAACCATAAGGATGAGTTCACTAATAGGTAATAAATCTTAACTTTTAACATTTATTTTGTGTGTTGTATTTATAAAATGTAAAAAAAAAAGACCTATTTATAAGTGCTGTATCTTTTGTGATCACAAACTCTTATGTGTAATGAGAATGTGAATTAGTGTTTAAAGCATCATTCAGATTTTTTAACTATATAATAATTCTTTAGTTTATACAATATGAAAATGTAAGTCTGTATGCACCCATTTTAGCTTTAGTATAAATTATTTTATATTAAAGTTGCAATAACAACAAAAAACTATTGAGTTCAAACAAACCAAAAACAATGTCTTTAAGCACTTTCGTGACATACTGCCTTGCACTAATCATCACACAATATTCAACAGCTTTTATCTTGTACTCAGACATGTCGTAATCTTTAAAATCTCTATCAATCATAACTAAAATTCCTACAGGTTTTGTTTTTCATAGTTTATCAAGCTTCAAGATCTTGATTCTTTGATAGAAGTCTTCTAGAACTTGTACCATTATCTCTTGTTTCTACATTCATTCGACCCATCAGTATAAGTAGTTATAAAATTTGAGTTATGTCACCAAAGTAACTACCTTATATATGACTTACAAACTCTTTGGTAGCCTTGTCATTAAAGCAAGTTTCACCTAACGACAGGCCGTACAGATTCTGGATTCGTTACGTAACTGAACAAAGTCAGCAAGTGCCGTTTCTAGCTTTACTATGTTAAAGAGTTTAGAATACTTTGAGCATTTTTAAAAAACAGTTCTCATCCATTTTATGAAACCTGAGAACTTTTAGTAACCAGTGCTCTATCATGACACACAAGTGGTATTTCACAAGCTCTTTCTTCAAATAACTGAAAAAAAAAGAAAGTAAGAAATTTAGTTATAATTCCAATCCAAGGAAAAAATCAAAAATTTTAAAACTGAATTCACGATTGATTTATTTTGATAAAAGAAAATATTTATATTCTCCAATAGGTGGCTTACTCTCTTTTTGATAGTAATGTGCCGTACTCTTCTGTTATAAGTATTATAACATTATTAAGCTCGTTATGAAGTTGAATTTACCTAGATACTTGAACTTCTTTCAGTCAATAATACAGTTCAGTAATATTTTCTATTTAAAACAGTTTAGGTTTAGTTTTCTGGTGAGTGACTTGAAGAACACTGTAGAAAGTTCCTGAAAACTAGATTGTATAAGCTTATCACTGGTCCTCTGATAGCTTGTTAGTCTTAGGAAAAGTTTTGTTTTATATAGGAAGCTATGTTTACACCACTTGTTATGTCAGCATTACATTATTTATTTTATTAGTTAAAAAATATATCTCACTAATTTGTATCTAAAACACGTTAAGCTGTTTTATAATGAAGCTTTACGTATTGTGGATAATCTTTATTCTGGTTAGGCTACTACCTTGTTTGCAGATAATGTGTTGTAACGATTCAACATACGTATGCTTTCTTTCTTTCGTTTTGCTCTTCCCTAGTTCAACATGTACATTTTTTTTCTTCTAATATAAAATGCTAATGTATTTTATATATCTCTAGATACTACAACAGCATATATGATTTCATACCCAACATCAATGACACCGAAGTTTTAGATATCCTTGCCTCTAACATAACTGCACTAACTTCTGTAATTACGGAGACGGTCTACGAGCTGTTGACGGGGGAAAGACCAACTCACATAGAAGTGAATGAAACTTTGGTAAGTACACTCGTCGAACTTAGTTGTTTTTATTTCTTTAAGCACTGTTATGTTACATTAAAGAATTCTAGTAATAATAATAGGATTGTACTAGTTTACATAGAAAAGTCTTTTTGCAATTTAACTGAAACAATATATATGGATAATAATGAAAGTTAAAAACACGTGTAATCAGGAAAGTTTGTAAATCGTAATAAAGAAATTAACTGAAACAATATATATGGATAATAATGAAAGTTAAAAACACGTGTAATCAGGAAAGTTTGTAAATCGTAATAAAGAAATTAACTGAAACAATATATATGGATAATAATGAAAGTTAAAAACACGTGTAATCAGGAAAGTTTGTAAATCGTAATAAAGAAAATTGGGGAAAAACTCTAGTATTGAAAGGGTACGGTATGAGACATATTTCAGTATAATTGTATTGCAAAATTAAAGAAATCACCTACCATAGCTGTCATAAATCCTGTAATTTTAACTTGTAGTAGAAAACATTGTCTAGTTAAAAAATAAACTACCTGGGAATCATTTAACTCTGAACTAAAGTTTAAGCTACGTTTCAGTTTTTTAGTTTGCATTATTGGTATTTCTCAGAAGCTAGCAAATGAATGTGGAAGATTAAAAGTAATTGTATAACTGCTTAACTAGTTCAACTATTAAAGACAACTTCAGATAGTTCTTTTTTTTTGTAGGTGCAAGGACTGTTGGAGTGTTACTTGGCAAATATTTCTTGTGATTTATTCAGAACCATAAGTAAACTATACGAACATGGTAAGTCGTTAGCCTAAAATAAACAAACAAATCTAACTATATGTCAATCTGCTTCATTAGTAAACTGTACAAACATGGTAAGTCGTTAGCCTAAAGTAAACAAACAAATCTAACTATTTCAGTTTAGTAATGAAGCAGATTGACAAATAGTTAGATTTGTTTGTTTACTTTAGGCTAACGACTTACCATGTTTGTATAGTTTACTTATGAGACAGATTGACGTTAGATTTGTTTGTTTACTTTAGGCTAACGACTTACCATGTTTGTATTTAGGCTAACGACTTACCATGTTTGTACAGTTTACTAATGAAGCAAATTGACAAATAGTAAACAAACAAATCTAACTATTTGTCAATCTGCTTCATTAGTAAACTGTACAAACATGGTAAGTCGTTAGCCTAAAGTAAACAAACAAATCTAACTATTTGTCAATCTGCTTCATTAGTAAACTGTACAAACATGGTAAGTCGTTAGCCTAAAATAAACAAACAAATCTAACTATATGTCAATCTGCTTCATAAGTAAACTATACAAACATGGTAAGTCGTTAGCCTAAAGTAAACAAACAAATCTAACTATTTGTCAATCTGCTTCATTAGTAAACTATACAAACATGGTAAGTCGTTAGCCTAAAGTAAACAAACAAATCTAACTGTATGTCAATCTGTCTCATAAGTAAACTATACGAACGTGGTAAGTCGTTAGCCTAAAGTAAACAAACAAATCTAACTATTTGTCAATCTGCTTGTAAGAATACTAAGATTTCAGAAACAAATTACGAAGTAAAATAACAGTAATTTTGAAACACCAAAGTATGTAGCTTTTTAAAAACATGCAGTATTAGAAATAATCATGGGAATACCACCATTTTATTATGTGCTGTATGACAGTATAAAGCCTGCAAAAGTATAGGCAGCCAGACTATGCCCAGTAGTAGCAGTGTAATCCATTCATGGCTTTGTGTACTGAAATACTATATATCTTGGCTGGTTAAAAATACTTCACATTACAAATTATGGCAAGATGCTGTGTTTCAGTAGTTGCTGTATGTACGACTCTGAAGAGGGAACATGAAATGACACTGTTAAGAATAGAAGTAACTGAGGGTGCAACTTGATAATCTGTGAAAGTTATGTGAGTATATCAGGGTACGTTCTTTATGAGTCAGATGATGATTTAGTACTAGTTTTGTCAGTGACCTTGCTGTATATTCAGGTGTGAATGTTACCTCAAGAACTATAAGATAAACATTAACACAAAGTGGTCTTGTGGACATATAGCTGCTTGAAATTCTCCAATGAGAAGTGGTAATCAAACTGAAAAGTTAAAATGGGCATTAGACCACAAACAGAGATAAACAAAACTGTAGATGTATGCTTTTTTTCAGATGAATCTAAGCAACAATTAACGAGAGTTTGAAAATAGAGAGTGGTACCGTAGTTAGTATAAGATATCTACAGTGAAATATGGAAGTGGGGTGGGGGGAATCAGTGTAACTTTGGAGCTGTATCTCAATGAATGGTGTCGTTAACCTACATAAAATTAATGTCATACTTGTTGATAACAAGTACGGTCTGATCTATCCTGCCATTCCATAATGACTCATCAGGCATTGAGTCATCTTCCAGCAAGTCAGATTATCCAAAGCATATAGCAATTGTGGTAAAATGGTAAAGAGGACCGATGGAACTGTCACAACCATGGCTTCACTTGCACAGAGACCCAGTATGAACATTCTTGAGGCTCAGTTGGCTCCTGTAAACATTTTAAAGGTCAAAAGGCACCCAAACAGCTTGGCTGAAATGTGGCAATTAATTCATGATGCTTCAAATGATAGTCGTTATCATACATTAATAAACTGTATGACACCATAAAAACAGGGTGTAATGTTTTGTGTAAAGCAAGCAAAGGATTCTTATTTAAAAAAAAATATTAGTCCATTGTACAACATATTCTGTGATAATGTTTCTTACCGTTAAGAAATTCACCATTGAAGTTCTTTACTCATTGGTTGTGACTCCTGTAATGCTTGTGTGATTCCATGCTTATTTCTAATACTAAATGTATGTGTGTGTGTAGATAGATATAGATAGATAGATACTGAACTAACACTAAAAAGTGAAAGGTTAAAATAAATTCAACAATAAATGTAAATAATAATTAAAAAGATTATTAAAGGAAGAAGGTTATTATTTTCATTTATTTGTTAATTTTTTCAATAAAGTATTTCACACTGATTAATTAAACATCTCTCTGGTTTCACATTTTGTGGTGTTTGATTGTGGACAGACCTACATATGGTTATTTTAATTTCTGTGCCAACCATTGGTTTCACATTTTGTGGTGTTTGCTTGTGGACAGACATACTTGTGGTTATTTAATTTCTGTGCCAACCATTGGTTTCACATTTTGTGGTGTTTGCTTGTGGACAGACATACTTGTGGTTATTTAATTTCTGTGCCAACCTTTGGTTCTTAAGTAGTAATTCTTAGGCAAGTAAATCAGTGATTTTTTTTTCTGTTTTCTAGTTTGAGAATAAAAACAAGAAATATGTTTTTATTCTCAAACTAGAAAACAGAAATATGTTTTTATTCTCAAACTAGAAAACAGAAATAGTTTTCTAGTTTGAGAATAAAAGCATATTTTTGTTTTCTAGTTTGAGAATAAAACCTATTTCTGTGTTCTAGTTTGAGAATAAAAACCTATTTCTGTGTTCTAGTTTGAGAATAAAAACCTATTTCTGTGTTCTAGTTTGAGAATAAAAGCCTATTTCTGTTTTTTAGTTTGAGAATAAAAACCTATTTCTGTTTTCTAGTTTGAGAATAAAAACATATTTCTGTTTTTTAGTTTGAGAATAAAAACCTAGCTAACATAAATGTAAGGAAAATAATTAATGAAGAACTTTCTGGAGTGCCAGTTTATAAAAATGTTGCAATTTGTTTTATAAATTAAGATTGTCTTTTAATGAGTTGTTGTATTATGATAACTTGTTTAAACAATTCATAAACCATCCTGATTCCTGTATGTATACTGGGCTATATTAATTTTTATAAATTAAGATTAGGATGGTTTATGAATTGTTTAAACAAGTTATCATAATACAACAACTCATTTAAAGACTTTCCTGTATGTATACTGGGTTATATTAATTTTTATAAATTAAGATTAGGATGGTTTATGAATTGTTTAAACAAGTTATCATAATACAACAACTCATTAAAAGACTTTCCTGTATCTATACTGGGTTATATTAGATTGTAAATTTTTGTTACAGGTTTATATCCAGAAACATCATAAACAACAAGGATACCCAACTAATGAAACAATGTATTCTAATTTTTATAAGAATATTTATATATTTAGTTAGTTATACTGACTGCCAGGCTGATTTGTATTTGAACTATAAGTAAATAGTTTCCTCTGATTGGAAGATATTGATATTTTATAATGTAAGTAGACGTGAAATACTTCAGAATACATAGAAATGATACTAGATGAATGGAGAAGATAGCCAGATATATCTAACTGTCAGTGTAAACAGTAAGTTATTGAGATAATAACGAATATGTTTGTGTCCAACATTGTAGTCCCAAACTGCATAAAATATATATATTTCACCATTTAACTTGCCTGGTAAAAGCATTAAAGAATTATTTTATCATAAAACCCACAAACTGTTGTATTTTTAGTGTAGTCCATCCACAGGTTAATAACTTTGTAGCTAAATTACTTTGTGATATTTTCAAAAGGTCTAATTTTGTTTTTTTACTGACTTCTAGCAAAGAAACCATATCCATTATATGTTCGTGTAGAAACTCGTCACATCAGTCCTGTTATCGTTTACACCAAGCTCCTCCTGGCTCATCTGACTGGTACTATTTTGCAAAATAAAACAAAAGATGATTGTAAAGCTGAAGAATCAAATGAGGTCAGATATGCTGTAGTTAGTGTTCTTTGTCGGTACTTTTGTCTTACCAATACTGACACTTCCTGGATAGTCCTTAAAAAATTGTTAGAAGCTTCTGGAAACTTATAATAGTCTCTATTGTGATAGCCACATCTGGTAACAATGTGCTCAGAATGCGAACATCGCCTGAAGTCGGAGACAAACCTGCATGTCATTGTGATGCTTATTTCCAGTTGTCTTTGTTTTCTCATCCATTTTTCATAGTTTGCATTGTCATATTTCATGGGCTAGTTATTATATGCTATTCAGTAACATTAGTTGTACCACAAAGTTTTGTGCCTAGTAGTATGGTAGTGGTGAAATAGAATTATCAAACGTGTAGTTTTGAAACATGATTCTTATTTAACTAACTACCCCTTCTCGTGTCCAGTTTTATACATCTTTTAAATTAAGTAATAATTGACTACTACTGTTAATTTTTTTGAGAATGGAAGATATTTCAAAATGATATTATAAAAAGATTTATATTAATTTTATAAGAATAACAAAGTTAAATAATGGGAAAGGCAAAAAGTAACAAAAAAATCTTACCACTTTTTAATAATTATTTCAATTACCTCAGTGACACACAGAAAACTGCTGATGTTAAATGAAAAAGGTGGAATGTTTTTTTTTTCTTCGATACCAATTTCATTTCAAATTCATAATAGAGACATAAGTTGCAAGGTTTTTAAACATCGTGGAGTTCCTTTAGGCCTAAAAGCAGTGACTAACAGAGACATAAGTTGCAAGGTTTTTAAACATCGTGGAGGTTCCTTTAGGCCTAAAAGCAGTGACTAACCGGAGACATAAGTTGCAAGGTTTTTAAACATCGTGGAGGTTCCTTTAGGCCTAAAAGCAGTGACTAATAGAGACATAAGTTGCAAGGTTTTTAAACATCGTGGAGGTTCCTTTAGGCCTAAAAGCAGTGACTAATAGAGACATATGTTGCAAGGTTTTTAAACTTCTTGGTGGTTCCACACCAGAATATAATTTTGTCTGCTGAAAGTATAAAATTTTCTTTTGGTTCAGTATAGAACCCATTCTTTGAGCTTTACCTTCAACAGCCAATAAGTAATGCTATTTATATGCAGGACTATGAATGGTTGTCCAATTGTCACTAATGTTTAATACTAAGAAGGCAGTTTAATTTCAAACCTTTCTGACTTGTGTGTTTTAGAGGTAAAATAATCAAAACTTAGAAATAATAATGTATTTACTAGTTTTTACATCAAGCCTCATTCCAATGAAATGTTTTAATTGTTTAACACAATTAGAGATTATGTAAATTTTTCTAACCGTGTAGATTATTATGAAAGATGTTCTGACCTTCACAAGAATCTACTAATATATAAAGTATTTCATACAGTTTTATTCTGTAGCTTGCAATGTTATCCTGACACTACACTGTGTCAAAGAATTTCCTGGACTTTTCCATTAATATTCCTAGAAAAATGTACATTTGGGATTCCTGTCCTACAATTTTTTTTATTCACATCAACATATGTTTGTTTATTTTTTTGGTCTTAGTTTCAACTTTATGATTTTTTTATAAATATATCATCTTATTTACCTTGCTTTCTTAATTTTGCCTTCGATGAAAGTGGCATGAAAGTTCTCTTGACTTCACTATTCGACAGTCTGCAAGTTGTTGAAGTATTCGGCATATTGATTGCCTATTATAATTTTTCTCTAAAAAGAATCCTGGAATATCACAATCTGTCATTAATTTGAGATGAATAAGACAGAGAATTAAAGCCAGTTCTATGTTCAATAAAAACTTGGAGTAGATTTAAAATGAAATCTCTGTTGCATGACTCACATTTGTTTCATGTATCTTGAAATAAACAAACACACAGAAGTCGGATATCACTAGGCACATTGTTATATAGGTATCACTAGGTGTATTGTTGTTTAGGCATCACTAGATGCAATCTTTGTTATTTAAACAACACAGTGTTCCTTTGAGATATAAACATTTCATATGTCATGTATAAAGAAAACTAACTTTATTACCTTAAAAAACTTGTACATAAACATATTACATGACTGATTGTGGCTTTCAATGTCATCTGATGTAGAATTGTCTTTACAGAAGAACAAGATTGTTTGAGTGATAACTTGCTTCATGTTTCTTTTCTCTTAATTCTTCCTTAACCTTTCTATGTTATGATTTTCAGAAGAAAATAAAACTTTTTTCTGTAACTGTAACTGTATTTTGTGGCCTTATTCTTTTAAACTATGTATTGTTTCTTCCGTTATGCAAGTTTATTACTTTTCTTTAAGTTAGATATTTAATCTTTTATTTAAGTCACATTCCTTCTTCCATGTTCTGTTTATTTTCTAAATATCACATTTTGTATGTACTTGTCTTCATGTTCTTTCTCTATATATGGTGTTGTAGTTTTATCAAAGATTTTTTTTGTTTTGATAAAAGCAGTGTCCTTTAAAATTTTGCTTGTATTGCTGTTGTGGAAAAAAATGTGTTAATTTCTGCAAGGAATTTATTAGTAAAACAGTATTTTATTCATAACATTTACTCTTTAGGTATACCATAAGTACTCAGTTTAGGGTTGCGTATGAAAATATGTAAACATTGCATGGCTATGTTATACATTCTGTATCTGTTTAGTAGAAGCAAACCATTAGCAAAGATAAATATGTAAACATTGCATGGCTATGTTATACATTCTGTATCTGTTTAGTAGAAGCAAACCATTAGCAAAGATTAGAGAATATAGACTTGCTAAAGATTTTAAATAAGTTTTTTGTTTCTTGCTGAATTCTTAATATTCAAGGTGCTTCTGTAGTGATGTCGATGTCTCATTTTGATTCTTTAAAGAATCTTACAGTAATGACAATAAAGAAAGTTAAAATGCTTTGAAAGTAGAGGATATTGGAATGATACTTGAAAAAAAAGGTTGCTGTCCTTTTAAAATAGGTACTGTTTTTTAAAAACTTTTTTTTTGTCATAGATTTATGTGTATAATTGGATTAGAGGATCAGATCCAAACAACACAGGTGTTTGTGTTCAGTCTACTACAAGGTTTACGTTAGCACAGTCTCCAGCCTTTGAGCTAAAAGGTACGTGTATAGTGTTTTATTACAAACCAAAATGATTTCTATCGAGGGTCAAAGTTCAAATTGTAAATATTTGAGAAACGTGCCCAACCATCACTAACTTTTAATTGTAGTTGGTGACACATTTCATCCAAATAAGCTGACGGTTAATAAGCAATTTCATTAGTTTATTTTGTTTATAAACGTATGTAGGAGTGAATTATTAATGTGTATTAAACATATTTTAACTGCCAAAGAGTTAAAAAAAACAAATTAAGAAATATATTTTTGCCCTAAAAGTGTATGAGAGAGAAATTTTGTGAGAAAAAAAAAAAACGTGAAAGTTTAGTAATGTTTATTTGTGTTTAAATAAGTTTTACATGTAGTACATTAAACACAAGTTTGTTTCAACACTTTTTACATTACATAAAATGCAACACCGAACTATTTTCTCTTCACCAAGGGTATGTAAAAACTAGATAATAAAATGCACCCTTACGAAGGCTACTTAAAGTATAAAATACATGTAGGTAAAGAATGTGTTTAATCTCTGATGCATTACATGTTCCGAATTTCTTACCACTGTTAATGTTCCATATTTTTTATTTCATTGCATGCAATTGATATATTTAATTTTTCTTCTAAATAACGGAGTTCCATTTTTTTGTTTTGTGATTCAAAGCTGATAAAAATAACTTTGAAGGTAGAGAATTAAGTATTATTAATGTTTGATAATAGTTTAAACAAATATTCATTATTTCTGGGGTTTAACCAAAGAGAACTTTTAAAATGTCTTTGAAATCTACTTAGATTGAGCCCCTGGATAGCCCACTGTGTAGCTTTGTGCTTAACAAAAAACACTGGGATTGTTTAGACTCGTAAAGATGGTAGTTAGCGATCCCTGTAGAAATTACTCTGTGTTCGTTTATAATTTGATTATAATAGATTTATCTTGTTCAAATATTTAATCTATATACAATGCCCCTACAGTCTTGCACCTATCGTTATTGTTGTCTCCACAACTCGTGATCAAAAACGGTCAATTTCTCAAATCTCATTCTAAACATGATGATGACCTAAGGAAGTCAAAACACCGTTACTTTTGTGTTTTTAAATAGAAGTTTTTAATACCCATAGTCGTCATCTCTATACACTGAGTGGTCACAAGTAAATAGACACCTAATTTTTCGTCATTTAACTGATTTATGCTAACTAATTTGTGTTCACAGAGCACTATATATATAAAAATGGTCCGCACACTAATTAACTTGTGCTACAACATGCCTAGAACTCAAGGTTCTCTCGAATTGTCAGATTTTGTTAGAGGAAGGATAGTTAGTCAAGCAGATGGTGGAATAAGTCAGCGGCAAATTTTGCAGAATTTGGGAATCCCGCTTTCGACAGTCAACAGAATCATTATGCAGTTCAGGAAACACAGCAAGGAAAGAACCGAGCAGCGTCTGGGCCATCCTGGTCCATTTGAGAGGACAAAAAAGGGCTGTCAAGAGGAGCATCGAAATGGATCCCAGATTAACGACTACAGAAGTGGCCAAAATTGGTGGGATGAGCCCGAAATCTGTTCAACTGATTCTCCACAGATTGGG